CTGCTAGCCACCGCCTTGACTACGCTACGGCTCTGGTCTCTCTTACCGCCTTTTCTCCGTCCATCGGGGGTGCACCTGCCCTTGGCAGTGACGCCCTATGGGATAGGCAGTATGAGCTGGCCTACCTTGCTGTCGCTGTACCCCATCTCTGCTCCATGCTTGAATCCCTAGAGGGCGACACGGATGCCCTCCACATCCTTATCCCGCGCTCTTATGCTGAGGCAGTGTCGAGTGTCTGGGAAGCCCAGTGAATACAAACCATGGAGGCAAAGATAACATCGTGCAGATCCGCACGCAATCACGTCGACGCAGTTTCCCCAGCTGGGGCGAACGTAGTCAATGGCAGATCTACATGGTGAAGCCGCCTGGAGAGTCGTCGAAACTCAAGGCGCGCTACATGGCTAGAGGCATCAGTCAACAGGAGGGTGTTGACTTCTTCCAGACCTTCTCCCCTACACTGAACATGATTACTCTTTGGGTGCTCATTCATCTAGCCGCGCTGTGTGACTACGAGCTTCACTCACTCGGCTTCTCCACAGCCTTCCTGCCGGGCAGTCCGCATGAACACGTCTACTTCCGATGCCCACTAGGCTTCTTTGGATCCTTCCCACCTGGGACCTAGTGGAGCCTGCATTGCCTTGTCTATGGCGTGCGCCAGGCGCCCCGTAAGTGGCACGATATGCTCCGTACCACACTTGCTTTTCTACAATTCTTTCTGCCTTTTGCTGACCCTGCGCTATTTTTCCGTACTGGTCAGACCCCGTTCTATCTAACTGTACGTAGACGATCTTATCTTTGCTACTCTTAGCAGAGACGCACTGGCCTCAGTGAAGGCCGATTTACTTAGGAAGCACACCCGCACTGACCTAGGGGAGCTGATGCGCTATCTAAGCTTGGAGATCTTTCGTGACTGTGCAGTGCGTACGATCATACTCTCCAAGTCCCACTTGGTGCAGGAGATCCTTCAGAGGTTCAATCTCTAGTTCTTCTCAGCACAGCTCACCTCTCTGCTTGTGGATCACAAACCCTCTACTCATGTTCTGATTGAGCTGGCCGAGCCTAGTGGTCCACATGCAGGGCTGGTGAGGTGCCTCATGTACCTAATGACCTGCACTCGACCAGATCAAGCGTACCGTCTCAGTGTCCTTGCTCACTTTGTTGCAACAGGCAGGCACCGACCAGTCCGCTGGTTGGCTGCCAAGAGGATGATTTGGTATCTGCCAAGTACATCAAGACTTGGGCTTGTACTAGGAGGACAGAGCCAGTGGTGCTCACATGACACATTGACGCGTCGTGGGCTGATGACTTGGAGACACTCAAGTCCTGACAGGGCTACGGTTGGTCTTGGTTCTGGTGCAGTCTCGTGGAGGTCCACCAGGTCATCGCCTGTAGCTTGGTCTGGTTGTGAGGCAGAGATCTACGCTTGGGCCATGGCCGCTCAGGACTTCCGCTGGCTGACGTTCTTGCTCACTGACTTAGGTGAGCAGGGTAGGTCTGCCCTGGTCTTGTTTGCTGACAATAGGGCCATGATCCTCCTGTGTCAGGAGGCTCGACTAGAGGGCAAGGCAAAACACATCCAGCTGCGGTACTTTCTGTTGCGTGAGTTGCACCAGTGCGGTCAGGTTCATGTAGTACAAGTGGCCCCCAAGGCCAACACTGCTGATATCTTCACCAAGGCGCTAGCACCTCGTAACCATCAGCGTACTCAGCTTGGTCTAGTCTTAGTAGTAGCTCCTCTCCTTGTAACATGACCTATGGTTTACCGGCTTATACTTGGCATTTTTAATATCCAGTATATCAAATGAATGCGTGGGATGTTTTTTTTTTTAGTTTCTCATTATTATTGGAACAATCACCTGAGTAATAAGTTATAATCCATTACAACAACTGGTGTAAAATACCACAGTCATGTAGTGTAAGAATTTCAATCTTGTTCCGCCAGGCAACCTGTAGGTGATGCTCTTTTTCTAGCCTGAACTTGACGAGCCTCGGCCCTCTGTTAGTTTCTAGGTTTGCAGGGCCTCGCACTAGGCTGTTTGAGCTCGGCTGGCTTGTAGGGCATCCGAGCCGAGAAGCCTCGGAGTCGCGCTAAGCTGTTTTGGGCGGGCGGCTCGGTTGACGTTCAGTGAAAGGCTCTTCCCGGCTAATGTTGACGCAATGTGATAACAGTCGTAGAGCGTTCACGGGGCTGGCTGTAATGCATACTAATATCTACCTAGCACAATTGGCGCGACTTAGCTAGGGCTCTATAGCGTGACCTACGCTAGGCTGCAAGCGTCAGAAAGTTGTGCTAGGGAAGGTTGGGTAAGGTGTACAAATGTGGTCAACCACCCAACCCAAGGCAAATATAGATTGGAAATTCCAACCCTTCATATTGAGGCTTGGAAATTTCCAAGCCTACACATTGCCAACCAATGGTTGGACTTTCAACCAACCACAGGTTGACAGTTGGTGTTACAACCAACTCAATCCAATAATTTCTTCCACACACTTGCTCTCAAATGGGTAGCAATCGAACTTGAAATGCCACCTAAGCAACTCCACTATAGGAGCTCCTCCACCTTCATATTAGGGAACACCAGAGTCCACCGCCTCGGCATGATGTTTTGGTTGTCGATCAGGGTCAATACACATTATACGCTATCGATCTCCACCTAGCTGTTACCCAACTCTAAAAGTTTGCCAGCTGCTCCGTCAGATCTTGAAGAATTCCCAACCCGGTACCCTGACGTTGACCCAGCGCGCTGACGTTAACCCATCGTCACGCTCATCCTGGTACCTAAGTAGGTCCTAGGCTTTCGCCTTCAAGTAGCCCGCGTAATCCAGATCAACTTCCTCCGCTTAGCCGCACTCCAAAACTTTCAGACAAGAGTGACAAACTCCTCCAGCTGTAACCCAAAATTCTTCAAAATACTCTGGTAACCCTGCCAGTTGGCCCTGCATACGTTCACCCATCTCACGGCTGCTGCAAGTTACCCAAAACCGCTTTGCTGCTGCTTAACTAACTAAGAGAATCTGCAGAGATAGGAGTACGCACGCTTCTAGTCAGAGGAGCTTTAACGAGCTCGCCTACTGACTTTTGGACAGCTCCCTCCTCCGTCAAACTACACCTGCAAAAGTCGGAACCTCCTTCTGCTGCACCAGGTGAAACCCTCACTTCCGCTGCAACAGTAACGCCTTAAATTTTGGGGACACTCTATCAGCACAGTGTAGTTCGCAGGTTCACCCCCCTTATTCAGCCAAGAGCCGTCGATTAATAAGTCGACACTGCTACCTGGTGGGGATGGTGATTTCTGGTCGACGTAGCTGAGCGAGTAGCAGCCCGAACGCTGCTAACCCTTAACTGTACCAGTACTCCCGTCGTTCTTCTTCCACTATGTCAGCTCCTGACAGTTAACGCTTTCGGCGACCAGTGGAAAAACACTAAATACACGACCAATGGTGGTGGCCTCCGTTTCCGTTGATCGTGGGGGTATGAATCGCTGGCCCACGAAAACGCCTCCCCACGCGGAAAGTTGCCCTCGCTGAGTACACTCAATCCAGCACAACGTCATCACCTCCAGATGGCCGTCGTGGTGAATAGCGCCGAGGTCGTTAATCCCAGCTGCTCCCACACAGCTGCACACCCACACATGCATCGTGCGATCGTGTCGTTCCGAAATTGTCGGATCCGCCTATTGCTGAAACCGTTTTGAAGTCCCGTCCATCGTCTGCAACTAGCCTGTTGGAAACGTCGGGACTCGCAAAACAGCTACAGTTCACCCTGCAGCTTCATGGCGCACCATACGTACATCGTTGTACATCCCGCCAATTTCGCCACCCCGCACGCTCCTCACGACCAACTCCCGGCCGCCTGAGGACTCCCGTGCACTTGTTTTCTCATAACGAAGCCTTCGCTTATTTCGGAAACCAAAGTTAAGATTCCGTCAGAACACCCGGAAATTACGAAAGCTCTAACTAACTTACCCGAAAAACACGGCAAAAATGTCGCCATTTCTTCGACGGGAAATCATTCCGTCTACGCCCAGGGAAGGGGAGGACCGGCTAATCCCAGCCGTCCATCGGACAGGATCCGACGGCATCGACGACGCCCATGCAATTAATCACCGCGTGATCCGCTTGCCATCTGTATCCTTCCGCCCCCTTCCCCAGTAGGGACTGCTCCCCTATCGGAACCTAGATGGGCAGAATCGTGGCTCTGATATCAGCTGTCATGAATTATAACTCAGAGTATAGCGCAGAGTACTATAGGGGAACGCGAATTATATGCTGTACAGAATGAATGAGGCCTAGGGCTCATATAGTGCGAGTTGACCAGGGTTGAATGTCGAGGGTTGGACCAGTCAAGGGCTCGACAGTCCTGAGTGTGACGGGGTCAACATGGGTTCGGGGCGACTCGGGATGAGGTTGGGGCCGTCGAGGTCGTAGGGGGCTGGTTTGGCGCGTGACTTGAGGGCCGAGACCTCGGACGCGAGAGGTTTGCGTGTACTCGCTGTGGCGAGCCCCAGTAAGGAATAGTAATTCTTTACACTAATGGGATTTTCTCCAAGTCTTTGAGCCCTCCTCACAACTTCCCCTACACAACTCTCTTAAGGACTTCTTCATTCAAGTCTCTCCGTTCAAGACTTCTCCAACAACTTCAAGGCTACTCTAGGGCTAAGCTACGGTTATTATTAGATTGGAGAGCATTCCTTGCTTGTAACCCTATTATAAGAGCCTTGGTTGTTACACTGGCAGAGTGTAAGGAATTCGTAATTCCTTACCGAGGCTTGCTACAGAGGGTACGACTCGAACAGTCCCGAACCAGCGATAGGGTTCCAGACCTTTCAGTTCGAGCCTCCTGGGCCTTTCCGGACCTCGTTTCGACACATCGAGGCCCTTCGATACATTTCCCATACCTTCCATCCTACGTCCAGGATCGCCCTTGTTTTGTCATTCATTTTATTGTCTTTCACTCGTTCACAGTTTCGCCATTGCCCTCCGCGCTACTCGGCAGTTCCACTCATGACACCTGCTGGGCAACAGTCGGGCTGCCGGGAAAACCGGAAGGGCCTGTACTACTGTTGACTAAGTTCAGATTGGTCGTCCCAAGAATACAGTAGCAGGCGGCATTGGTCGTCATTGCCGCTCAGCCGTCACTGTTGCGACGTTTTGAGGGTCGCATTGGATTAGTTGAGGAACGGAGCTTGCGCACCGGTAGAAGCATTCCTTTGCAAGGGCCGGAAATTATACTATGTTCGCTTTTCGCCCCGTAAGCGTGGCCATGGCTCATCGTTGGACTGCTGACGGAGTGGACTAAGAAATCACAAACAAAAAAAACTATCGTTTTCTGTGAAGCTCTTTTTTTTGTTTCCGCGGAAGACTCCGCCGATGGTCCGGCTTCCCCCCGCGCAACCCATTCCGCGGAAAATGCGCGACTCGCGATCCCTACGGCATGTGGACGAGTTTGAAAGACTGGCGGCCGAAAACGACGCGGACAGCGTCGCCGGCCGTCGCACGGACGACGCCGGCGACGGCGACGGCGACCCCTCCTCGTCGCCGCCCGCGGCATCTGCGACCGCGAGCGACGTTGAGGCGCCCGTGCGAATTCGCACGGTGCATTACGACGCGCGACGGGAGACGGATTACGTGATCGTGGTTCACGGCACGTTCGACGCGCCACCCGCGGACGGCACGCGCACGTGGTACCAGCCTCCCGCTCCGGGGGAGCAGAACTTCTGCGCCAAGATGGGCGCGCTGCTGGCGCGCGGACCCATCGGCGCGGGGAGCGTCTGGCGGGAGCTTCCGCCCGAGTTAGCGTCGCAAGGGGCAGGAACGCAGGGAGCTGAGTCGCATGGCGTCGCCGAGTCGTCGTCAGGGACAGTGTCGCAGGTGGCAGAATCGCAGGGAGGCGAGGGGTCGCACGTGGGGGAGTGGCAGCGCATGGTGGGCGGCGACGTGCCTTACCCGTTCTTCTGGGACGGCAGCAACACGCACGAGGGACGTGTGAAGGCCGCTGAGAAGGTACAGCAGGGAGGATTGGCTAAGGTACGGCAGGGAGGACTGGCTAAGGTACGGCAGGGAGGACTGGCTAAGGTACGGCAGGGAGGACTGGCTAAGGTATGGCAGCTGAAAAGGTACGGCAGGGAGGGCCACCTGGTTAAAATGGAGAGAACACGGGGAATGATAGAGAGGGGAAAGATAGTGAGGCGAATGATAGAGAGGGGAATGATAGAGAGGGGAATGAAGAGGCGATGATAGAGAGGCGAATGATAGAGAGGCGAATGATAGAGAGGCGAATGATAGAGAGGCGAATGATAGAGAGGCGAATGATATGAGAGGGCGAATGATAGAGAGGCGAATGATAGAGAGGGCGAATGATAGAGAGGCGAATGATAGAGAGGCGAATGATAGAGAGGCGAATGATAGAGAGGCGAATGATAGAGAGGCGAATGATAGAGAGGCGAATGATAGAGAGGCGAATGATAGAGAGGGGAATGATAGAGAGGCGAATGATAGAGAGGGGAATGATAGAGAGGCGAATGATAGAGAGGGGAATGATAGAGAGGCGAATGATAGAGAGGGGCATGATAGAGAGGGGAATGATAGAGAGGGGAATGTCACAAGGGTAAATGGCAGCACAGAATTTGCCGTAGCCGTCCTTCAGCAACATGCACAAGGGACGCGTGAAGGCTGCTGAGAAGGGAAGGCAGGGAGAGTCCAAGGAGAAGGCAGGGATAACTCATGCTTTATCCCTCCCTCCTACTAAGCCCGTATCTACCCTTGCTGCTCCTTCCCCTTTTCCCACTCTTCCCTCCCTTCCATTCCAGAATCATTCAAGATTCTCTTCCCTCCCTTACATTTCAGAGTAAAAGGCCTCCAGAGATGACTTTTGAGTCGACTTAAAAGGCCTCCAGAGATGACTTTTGGGTCGACTCTTGAGTCGACTTTTGAGTCGACTTAAAAGGCCTCCAGAGATGACTTTTGAGTCGACTTAAAAGGCCTCCAGAGATGACTTTTGAGTCGACTTAAAAGGCCTCCAGAGTTTTCTATTCTCTCCCCCCCACTCTCTTCTTCCTCAACTTCCTTTCCCTCTCTTCCCATCTCTTCCCCTCTCCTCGCTTCTCCTCTCTTCCCCCAACACAGCCAGCCTGCTTGTTCGACCTGATAGCTCGCAGTGACCCCTCACCTCGCATCGTGTTATTGCTCATTGCTCCCCTTCCCTGTATTTCGCCCTTTCCTCTTTTTCCCCCTCTTCCCCCTCTTCCCCCCTTTCCCTATCTTGTCCCCCTCTGCCTTCTCCTCCACCTCCCTGCTCCACGCCCAACTCAGCTCGCAGTGACCCCACCTCCACCTCCACGGCCCACTTGTTCGACCTCATCGCTCGCAGCGACCCCTCTGCTCACACCCACGTTATTGCCCACTCCGCCACCCTTCCACCCTCTACCCCTGCCTCCCGTGTTCCCCCCCTCTCGCACCCTTCCCAACACAGCTCGCCTTTTGAGGCGCCTCAAAGTCCTTCCACCCTCTGCCCCTGCCTCCCGTGTTCCCCCTCTCTCGCACCCTTCCCAACACAGCTCGCCCGCTTGTTTGACCTGATAGCGCGCAGCGACCCGTCAGCTCGCATCCACGTTATTTCCCACTCCCATGGGGGCAACGTGCTGCTTAAAGCCACAGAGCTGGTGAGTGCTGCTTAAAGCCCCACCGGCAGGTTGCAAGTCCCCCTTTCTCAAGATGCTGCACCTTGAGGCCCCCGTAACCAAGCAGCTAGCGTCTAACTGCCAACTGCTCGCTAAGGGTTTCCAACTTGGCAGGGCTGGGGGACCTCTCGGAACTTGGCAGTGCCAACCTGCCAAGTTCTTCAAGGGGAGAAATGGGACGAGTTGTGTGCGGGGTAGAAACCTGCTTTTGTACTCGCAGTTTGGGCGGGAATCGCGGAAGAAAAGTATGCTTTGAATTTTTGGCGTCGCAGAAAATCGAACTGTACAGCGCGCCAAACCGCATCCGATTTTTGTTTTCGACACCAGTCAGGACGAGGTGCAGGTTGTGATGTCAACAGCCAACCAGTCACCCTGCAAACTTGGCAGTGGAGGTGGTTCGCCGCGAGAGTGAGTGCTCCAAAACTTGGTAGCCCTGCCAAGTTTCCAGCCCACTAGCTTGTGCGAACAAACGCTTACTCTGCGAAGCCCAGTCTTCGCCAGAATAATTCGTTTCTATAATTCTTCATCGACCAATCAGATTCTGCCGCCCCACCAAACTGAACAGCGCAAATATGCAACCTGCCGGGCGGGCTTTAAAGCCACAGAGCTGGTGAGAGTTTGATGAGTCACTATTAGGATTTTGACCAGATGTATATCCCACTAGCACCAAGCGCTACGAGCACCCTCCATTCCCCCCTCCCCTTTTCTTCCCTCTCCCCGCCCTCTCCCTCTCCCCACCCTCTCCCTCTACCCGCTTTCCCTGCCGAGCATGAAGAAGCTCCCACGGGGTCTCTGAGCAGCCTGCACTGCACCTAGCAGTGCAGCAGAACTATGTAAGCACTACAAGCTGTTTTCTCCTCCCCCCCTCCCCTTTCCTTCCCCCCCTCCCCTTTTCTTTCCCCCTTCCCCTTTCCTTCCCCGCCCTCCCCTTTTCTCCTCCCCCTCCCTCCTCCCCTCCCCCCCTTTCCTTCCAGTACATGAAGAAGCTTCCTACCGAGTCTTTGAGCAGCCTGCACTCGGCAATAAGGAAGCGCTTCTGGGCGGCTCAGAGGCGAGGATTCGATCTGGTGATACGAGCGCCCTCTTTCTCCCCGTTCCCCCCCTTCCCCCCCTTCTCCCCCCCCTGTCCATTCACTACATGAAGAAGTCAAGGTGACTTTTGAGTCGACTCAAAAGTCACCATGAAGAAGTCTAGTTTTGAGGCGCCTCAAAACTAGTCTCCCCCTTCCCCCCTTCTCCCCCCCTGTCCATTCACTACATGAAGAAGCTTCCTGCCGAGTCTTTGAGCGGCCTGCACCCGGCAATGCGCCAGTACCAAGTGATCACTACGAGTCCCCTCCCCCTTTCCCCCCTCCCCTTCCCCCATCCCCCATCCCCTTCCCCCTCCCCCTCCCCCATCCACCCTCCCCCTCCCCCAATTGGTCCTTCGTATTAGGCAGTGTAGGGTAGCGGCAAGGCAGCGGACAGCGCACAGTAGGTGAGACCTAACAACCCAGGCCAGGGGACCTTAAGGGTCCCCCAGCACTGGCTCTAACACATGCAACAAGTCCCCCACGGAGAGCGGAGCCGCCGGCTCACCCCAAGGCTGCTCCTCCACGGTGAGCGCCTCGTTGATCTTCGTGTTGAGGGCCACGGCTTGGCCCCGCTGCAGAGTCACCAACCATCGCTGGCGGTACTCGTGGAACAGCTTCGCGGCCTCCCGGGAGGTGGGAGCCGCCTGGCGGTGCTTGCGTGCCGCCAACCCGACGCACTGCTTGAGAAAGCCAAAAACGCCGGGCGAAGAACAGCCGTACGTCTCCGCCGCCATCGAAAAAAAGCCAGCCCACTCCACCCGGGCCAGTGGGCGGTACTTGTTTTTCCTTGCCCCGGGCTGCCACTCGAGCCGCCCAGCCAGTCCCCTTGCGAGCCAACGGGTCGTCCTGGGAGATTGGATCAGTCAGAGTGACGTCACAAAGCCACACCGCCCCCGAATCGGGGTGGCAGATGGCGACGTCCGCCCAAAGATTGGAGACCGGTGTGAAGAGTTTGGTCTCCTTGCGCGTAATGAACCCCGCCTCGATGGCGATCCGCGCGTATTCATCCCGCAGGCCGTGGTGCGCACGCCGTGCGACCCAGCCCCTTAGCGCACCTCAGGAGGTGGTTGGGAAGGCGGTGGTCGTCAATGTCGGTACGGTCGGCGCAGTCAGAGGCCCGGGGTGGAGTGAGGGGGCCCCAGGCGGAAAGCCACGGCAGTGGAGAAGTGGCCAGGGCTGAGGCGGAGTGAAGAGGAGAAGGGGAGGGCGTGGCAGCCAATCGCCTGCCCCCGGGCCCATGAGCGAAAGCAGGCGCTGCGTGTGCCCCTGGAGTGGATTTAGCGGCATGCGGCGTGTCTGGTCCGGCTGGAGCATGAACCGCTCCGCCTGCACCTGCAGCGCCAGCGCCCGCCCGCTGAAGCTTGGGCGGGTCTGGGGAGGAGTGTTTTTGGCGCAGAAGATCCGCAGCAGAAGGCGGCAGGGAGTTCTCGAGAATGGCGAGGCGACAGGGGAAGGGCGTGGGGCCAGCGGGATTGGGGTTGAACTGCCCAGCAGCCCCCTCCCCCTCCCCCATCCCCCATCCCCCTCCCCTCCCCATCCCCCTCCCCATCCCCCTCCCCCTGTCCGTTCAGTACATGAAGAAGCTTCCTACCGAGTCTTTGAGCAGCCTGCACCCGGCGATCAGGAAGCGCTTCTGGGCGGCGCACAGGCGCGGATTCGATATGGTGAAAGTTTGGCGGCAGCCGGCTAGAACCTCTGGGTGGCAACGGCTCTTCCCTTCCCCCGTTGTCATGAGGAGGTGAGGAGTGAAGAGGTGAGGAGTGAAGAGGTGAGGAGTGAAGAGATGAGGAGTGAAGAGGTGAGGAGTGAAGAGGTGAGGAGTGGGGAAAGGTGAGGACCAGATGGTTCGGAGTGTACGCGAGAAAAAAGGGTTCTTTCTAAGTAGAAGCTGGCGCCCGGTGGTTCAACCTGTGCTCCCTGTGCTCCCTGTCCTCCCTGTGCTCCTGTCCTCCCTGTCCTCCCTGTCCTCCCTGTCCTCCCTACCTGCAAGCAAAGCATGACGGGCGGGCAAGGTCTCTCACGGCACCAAGGAACGCTACCTCCTGGGGCCGCTACCACTGCCTGGACTCCCTCCTGGGCCTCCCCACCAAGCGGCAGCGCTCTTCCTCGCCCACCGCCTCGCCACGAGCCCCTGTCCAACGCGCTGGGCTCCCTCGTCTTCCTGGGCACGCCCTTCTACGTCAAGAAGTGGGAGCGCAACGGGATACGGTGGCTGGTGGTGGGCACGGTGGCCAGCATCGTGGTGACGCTGGTGGTGATGTGGGGCTATGCGATGCTCGTCTCGTTTGCCATCCGCAGTATCGTCAGCCATCAGACGTACGCAGGGCCCCAGTGGTCCCTTCCCCACTGCCCCAGTTTCAGCATGCCAAAGAAAGGCCGGGGCCGGGGGTGGGGCCGGGGGTGGCCTTGAATGACCTGTTGACTCCGTGTGTAATGAGTCTATTTTTGAGTCGACTCAAAACTTGAATGACCTGTTGACTCCGCTTCCTCACTGCCCTATTGACTGAACCGACACACCTCACAACTCCCGTCCACAACCCCCCTACCCACACTACCCCCCACTACCCCCACACTACCCCCACACTACCCCACTTCTCCCCCCCTTCTCCCCCCCACTTCTCCCCCCACTTCTCCCCCCACTTCTCCCCCCACTTCTCCCCCCCACTTCTCCCCCCCACTTCTCCCCCCCACTTCTCCCCCCTTCTCCCCCCCACTTCTCCCCCCCACTTCTCCCCCCACTTCTCCCCCCCACTTCTCCCCCCACTTCTCCCCCCCACTTCTCCCCCCACTTCTCCCCCCCACTTCTCCCCCCCACTTCTCCCCCCACTTCTCCCCCCCACTTCTCCCCCCCACTTCTCCCGTCCCTCCCACCCCCTACCCCCTCACTTCCCCCCTCCCTCCCGTTCCACCCCTCCCGCCCCCCCTTTTCAACACACTTCACTTCCCCGCCCCTACCCCCCCCCCCCCTTTTTCAACAAGCCTCACTTCCCCCCCCCCCCTTTTCAACACGCCTCACTTCCGCGCCCCCTCCCTTCCTACGTGGCGTTGCTAGGTATCTCAGCTCGGCCCTTACCCTGACTCAGCATTCCCACCTTATCCTGGTCTTGTTTTAGGCGCTTCAAAACTTGCTTTCACTTCCCAGATTCCCCTCTTTCCCCCCCCCCCACACCCCCACCACTCCCCCATTCTACCCCCTTCTACCCCCCTCCTCTCCCCCAAAGCGAACGCTCCTTATGTGGAACTGCTGGTCACCTCGGCCCCTATCCTGGCCCCTAGTCACCTCGGCCCCTATCCTGGCCCCTAGTCACCTCGGCCCCTATCCTGGCCCCTAGTTACCTCGGCCCCTCTCCTGGCCCCTAGTCATCTCGGCCCCTCTCCTGGCCCCTAGTCACCTCGGCCCTTATCCTGGCCCCTAGTCCTCGGCTGTCGTCTAGTCTCCTCGGCTGTCGTCTAGTCTGCTCGACTGTCGTCTAGTCTGCTCGGCTGTCGTCTAGTCTCCTCGGCTGTCGTCTAGTTGACGCAGAAGTCCGCACTCCTCACTTCCCCCACCCCCCTCCCCGATTTCCGCACGCCCCTCAGAGTGGACGCGCCCTACATAGCGCCACTAATCGCATCGGCCCTCATCCTGGTCTTTGCCACCATCAGCGTCAGCATCGAGGTACGGCATCAGCTGCACTACACCACCTCTTACCGCACTCAACTGTTCACCACGCCTCAGAGTGGACGCGCCCCACATAACGCCACTAATCGCATCGGCCCTCATCCTGGTCTTTGCCACCATCAGCGTCAGCATCGAGGTACGGCATCTGCTGCACTACACCACCTCTTACCGCACTCAACTGTTCACCACGCCTCAGAGTGGGTGCGCCCTACATAACGCCACTAATCGCATCGGCCCTCATCCTGGTGTTTGCCACCATCAGCGTCAGCATCGAGGTACGGCATCTGCTGCACTACACCACCTCTTACCGCACTCAACTGTTCACCACGCCTCAGAGTGGGCGCGCCCTACATAACGCCACTAATCGCATCGGCCCTCATCCTGGTGTTTGCCACCATCAGCGTCAGCATCGAGGTACGGCAGTTATTGCACTCCACCCCTTGTTACCGCACTCAACCTGTCATGCCATCTTTCTCGTTTTTCGCTTTCTTGTTTGTCCCTCTCCCCTATTCCCTCTCCTCCTTCTCCCTCTCCCCCTATTCCCTCTCCTCCCTCCAGCTCTCCCGCAGTGCAGCCTTCTACAGCGGCAACATCTACCATGCTCCGGACTTTGATTGGTCGCCTGCCATGTCAGCACTGGTCGTCCATGCTGGCAAGCTTGATGAGGTGAGAAATTTCCCCCTATCTCCACCTTCCCCCCACACATTTCCCCCACCCTCCCTCTATCACCTCCGCCCCTTATTGTTTCCACCCATCTGCCAGCCCCCACTTTCCAACCCTCCCCATTGGTCGTTCTCTCCTGGCAAATTGGACGAGAGGAGAATGCTCCCCCATCCCCCCCCCTCCTTCCAACTCCCCACGCCATCTCCACCCTGCTGCCAACCCTGACCTCCCCACCCTCCTGCCAACCCTGACCTCCCCACCCTCCTCCCACCCAACCCTCCGCCCACCTGCCAGCCCCCACCTTCCTTCCCTCCCGTCTGGTCGTCCACGCTGGCAAGCCAGACGACGAGAGAATTCGCATAAAAGAGAGTAGGCCGGGGCATCTCAACCCCCATTTCTCCTCAGCCCAGTTAGAGATGTCTCAAAATGGCCATTGCAGGCGCACTGGTATTTTCCCACTGGCACCCTTTCTCTCCTTTCTCCCCGTGTCCCTTTTCTTCTTCTTATCCCCTTTCATACCTTTCTGCCGATTTCCCTGTTCTTCTCTTTCTCCCCTTTCTCCCCTCTCCCCTCTCACCTCTTTTCCCCCAACCGCCACTCCCCCACTCCCCTCCCAACAGGCCAGCCTGGCACTCAGTTCCGAGCCTATCGCCCGAGCCTACGTCTTTCCGCACCTAGCCAACATGCTCAAGCTGCCCTTCTGGAAGAGCCTCCCCCAGCTGCCACCCAAAGGCGCCCTCGCAGTCGACTGGCTCCTTTTTTTCGCCACCTTCGGGCGGATCCTTCTGTGGAACATAATTTTCATCCTGCCAGCGATTTTCATCTCTCTGGCGTCCCATGTGGTGGCGCCGATGGTGATAGGGGTGGTACGGAACGTGATCGTGACCATCAGCTTTGGCCTGGCTCAAAACGAGCTGAGCTTCGCCCATGTCTTCATGGATGAGATTCTGGACCTCGGACTTTCTTCCCAACACGTGGAGCACTGGAACGTGCAGGTGAGAGGCTGGGAAAGTGAGCGCATGTTGGGGACTTGCAGTGAGCTGAGCTTCGCTTATGTGCTCATGAATGAGGTGCTGGACCTGGGGCTGTCCTCCCAGCACGTGGAGCACTGGAACATACAGGTGGGAAGGTGATGGGAGTGTAAGGGAGCTTCTCAGTATGCAGGTGCGTGATTGTGACCATCAGCTTCGGCCTGGCGCAGAACGAGCTGAGCTTCGCCCATGTCATCATGGACGAGATTCTGGAGCTGGGGCTGTCTTCCCAGCACGTGGAGCACTGGAACGTGCAGGTGAGGGGAGAATGGGAGTGTAAGGGTACTAAACTGCGGAGTTTGGCATGGCACAGGCTCAGAGCGAGCTGAGCTTCGCCCATGTGGTCATGGATGAAGTTCCATGTGGTCATGGATGAAGTTCCATGTGGTCATGGATGAAGTTCTGGGCCTGGGGCTGTCCTCCCAGCACGTGGAGCACTGGAACGTGCAGGTGAGAGAATAGAAGTGATGGGTACAAACAAGTGAGTACTGGTGGCTGCGTAGATACCAGGTGCCTATGATCGGAAAGGAATAGGACTGTGAGGGTGCATTTGATTTTGCAGATGAGTGAATCGGAAAACCAGACATTGGACTGTGCAGTGGTTATTAAGTGCTTCGTGGGAAGACCAGACAAGAGGAGTGGTTGAAGTGGAGCTGCTTCAAAAGCTTCAAAGGCTTCAAAG